AGTTTTGGTCACCTATCTATAGATGTGATGTCCCAGAATTGGAAAGAGCCCAGCAAAAGGCAACAAAATTAATATGGGGGTTGGTAGACCTCAGCTATATGAAATGATTAATTGAAATTAGAGTATTCGACCTTAGTCTTGCAATGGTTGTACAGGGATTAAAAAAACGTACGATCTGCCTATCTTGGACAGGCAGATCGCACTCTCGATCATCGCAAGCCCGCCCCCCTGAGGGGCGGGCTTCCGATGACCGCAATGCTGAACGGGCAGTGTGCGCATGCGCACACCGGCCCGTTCGGCATTTGTCTTCCGAGCACCGTTCTAACCAGCCGAGAATCGTACGATTCCCGGCTGGTTTTCGAACATGCTGGTTTGACGGAAGACATGCTGCTCGATTCTCGTACGATCGCGGGATTTCCCGCGATTCTCGTACGAGAATCGAGCAGTGTATGGGCACCTTTAGAGAGGAGGCGTTTAGGAGGAAACATGATTACACTCTACAAATTAATCAATAGTGGCGGTAAAGCCAGTAACATGTTCACTCTTTGTTGCCTGATATTAAAACATTGTCACAATTTAAGTTTGAAAGTTAAAAGACTTAATCTGAATTTGCAGAGAAGGTTCTTTACAGTCAGAGCAGCAAAAATGTGGAATTCCCTTCCCCATGTAGTGGTATCAGCCAGGACTACTGCCAAAATCAAAAAGCTCCTAAATGTCTTCCTCTCTGAGCACAATATACAAGGATATTTATATTCTTAAAAAACTTAATGACACACACACACACACAAACCGACACATGATTTACACCTAGGCTGGGCTGGATGAGCCTGCCTGTGTCTTTTTTCCAACCATATGTACTATGTGACTATGAAACGGGAGTAAAGCTCTCCTAAAGTAAAATGCAAACCTTCACTTTGAGCTTTACCATTCTGCTGCATTACATAAAAAGTAACACTAATGGAATATAATTATAATCAGCAGACTTTGGGGTAAATATATGAGGTTACATATAAATACAGTATATGTACCTGGATTACCAAATTAAAACCCTATCTTTCCTGAAAAATGTATAATTGTATAAAACAATAGGGTAGATTACAAAACCAAAAGAGATATATGTGTGGAACCGAGACATCGTCAAAAGGAAAGTATATGCCCTTAGACTCAAGTGGAAGGCCCAGGGACTCCATTGGTTAACATTTGGGGCTAGTGTCCATCTATCCCAACAAGAATCCCACTGCAGTTTTACAAAAATAACCATCTTATCTATGTGAAACACTTACTCTTTTTGTGGTCCATGCGGCTCTAACAGTCCCTGAAATGCAGAAAATGTCAAACATGCAGCATTCCTGTGTGGCACCCCTCCTTCTGTGCAGGCCAGATCAGCCTGCTATTGCTCATGGAAAATCAAATGAAACCTGCCATTCCTTGCCCCCCTAGAGATGTGAATGGTTCACTCATTTGACAGCGCTGTGCATATAGCATATGTGCGTAGAAGAATGGCAGAAATGATAGAAAACTAATGTCTTAAAGTTGATGTGATGCTAGAATTAATTTAATCTTGCCTAACAAATTCCCATGATTTACATGATGACAATTAATAAACTGCTTGTTGGGTTTGCCAGGGGAGCTCATTTACATATTACATCAGTCATAGTTCTTTCTGCAATATATTTGCATAAACTATACAGCATAGCCATGCAAATGTATATTGCTATTTTTTGGAGGTCTTCTTTGAATACAGAATAACAATGTATATTAGATAGAAATGGAGTGTTGCTTTTAATAATGCTTTCATCATCACTCAATGCTATTGATAACAAAACTGGATCACCCTTACAATAACAGAAACAAACCTTACCTAGTTATGTGCCATGGCTTAAGTGCTACAGTCTGATAGATAAGAGAAGATAATGCCCTGTAAGAGAATGCCCTGTAAATATCAATGACAGAGCCATAACTCAAATCAGGATGTAGATCCCGTACTCTAGGCACATTATGTAGATATAAAGCATGGAAGCGGCAAGCGTGGTTTTAGAAATCCTTGTTTTTACTGATAATCCATTTTTTTTCTGGAGCTGCAGAATCATAGAAGAACAAAAACACTTCTAGTGGAGTTATGTCCTCTTTACAATGGCTCATTTCTCGTCTGAATTTATGCCTAGAAGCAGAGGCAGCCCAACAGCACTGCAGGCAGTTTTAACGAGACAATTCATTAAACAAGCGGCACACGCGGGCCGTAAAGAACATTAATTCAGCAAATGAAAAACTAATAGAGTGTTTAGTGGGCTGTTTATCATAGGTGACAGTCTGAACTCTCTCCATCATCACTGTTTACTGAAGTGATAGTGGGTGCTGCTTATCACTACTCTTATCTAATGGAATCTCAACTGTATCTTGGTCAAGGCTGCTTGCATGTTTGATTATGTTTTCAGAGTGTCTGCCATATTTTGTTTCCACTTCAGTCAGCTTCACAAGTGTACAGAAAGTTTAATGTTGGACATATGTATGCAAATTCCTCACCATGATTTATGCAACCTTACCCAGGCAGAGCTTTCATTACTTGTGAACATAGCATTGGGTCTCTCCCATGTGCAGAAAGTTCAACTCAATGTTTCTCCACATGAATTACAGTTTTGGTTAAAAAAAAAAAGATTTACACAAATTTCCAGCTGTGCTGAAAAACATAATTGACTGACATTACCATTTTTTTTTCACATCTGAGTGTTTTATTATCTTTTTGTATAGTGTGTCTCTAGCCAACACTTTTCTTTTAATCTTTTTTTTTTACTTCCTGTCCCACAGACACAACTGGAAGTGAGAGGATATCTCAACAAAGTGAGGCTAAATACCCTTTTAGACAGTTTCCCCAAAAGAAGTGTCCCCATCACTTTGTCTCATACAGTGTTCACCAAGACAATTAGAGAAAGTGAATCTACCCACCAGGAACACAAACTTCACGGTGTTCTAATCCTCACCTACTCTATTCAACACTAAAAATCAATCTTTAGTTATTCATACAGTTAAGAAGTCATATGCACTGCTTTATATATAAGCCTCTATTTCAATTAAATTTCAATTCTGCACACCTGCATCACAATACTGTTTTTACGGTTTATTTTTCCTTTATTTTTTTGTTTTGGAAACTAACTGCTACATCACAATATATACAGTGCTGTGAGAACATGCACAAACTACAGTATATGTTGTAGTTTTGCCTTTTCTGATCTAGAATTGTGAAAGATTAAATATGGAGTGCCCGTAGCTCCTGTCTGTGCTTATGATTCATGTTTCCTAACAAATCTAATTATTACTAAATGTGATGAATGAATTATGAATTGCAGAGAGATAGAAATATGAAATGGTTCTGGGTAAAGTTTGACTCAGACACTGATATAATTAAAAACAAACATTTGTTTTTTTGGTGCCTTTGACAGTAGTTTTTTACGTTGTTCTCAGATCAACTTTTCTACTTTCACTGGGGGTAATCAGTGATCGTTCTTTTGCATTTCAATATACTCTGGTGTATATATACACTTTTTACACAAGCCTAATATTTCGCCATTGCAGACATCCTTCTGACAGTGCTTGTTGTCTAGCTGTTTTGAATGCTGATTTCAGAACTTTCTTTTCACTAACTTGGGACAAGTGAAATCAGAACTCTTAATCTGCATTCCTGTGAAAGTCTTGAAGCTAAACTCAGCCATCAGCATGGTCGCTTTTATTTCAAAGAGAAGTAATGCCAAACCTTTTTTTTTTGCTTTACTTCTCTTTTGGGTCACAATTGTACATTTACTATGTATAGAGCTGTTGTGTGACAGCTGCAGTGTCCTACGTCAAATTAAGTATTAGATCATTGAAACTGTACAAAGAGCGACAGGATGGGTGATTCTGGACCTCATCTGCACATCTACCTTCTAAATGGTTAAATAAACATCATCAACTAAATAGTGTCTGTGTTTTAATCATTGGTGTCCACTGGTCAGTCCACAGGTTGGGCTCATGCAGCAAAAGATTCTTAAAAGGGAGTCGTCAGGTCAAAAAGAGAAAGGTATATGCAGTACATCTCTGCAATACATTCACATTTTCTCATGGTTTATCTCTTAGGCTGGGTTCACACCTAGGCGTATCGAATATGCGCGTCTGTCGCGCATTTCGTGGTAAAAAACGTGCAACAAACGCGCGTTTCCGGGGGCTACTTGGCTGTATCCGAATGGAAACGCGCGACAAAAACGCCCCAAAGAAGCTCCTGTACTTTGGGCGTAGGGCGTTTTGTAGCGCGTTCATACGGCCTGTAATACGCCCAGGTGTGAACCATACCCATAGGAAATAATGAGATTTCAGTGTTTGAGCGTTTTGCAGAGCGTTCGAACGCGCTACAAAACGCCCAGGTGTGAACCGGGCCTTAAAGACCCTGCAAATAGAGACAAATCACTGTTCATGTGCTAGAAATGCATTCAGCTCATAATTTCCTGTTGTGGCTGACAACACCCTAACTAAAGTCTCAGGAAATTGTGTCATCCCTGTCCAGTTTTCTCTTGGTAAACTACAGGATGCCTCTTATTCTCATGTTTTTACCATAGGGATTATTTTGTAGTCCAAGATAAGAACTGGGGTGGCTACTTACACTCCTTGAGACAACCCAAGCATAGTAAACAGGACACAGAACAGCTATGAATTTCTGAGAGGGCAAACGTGTAATTTTTGGTCCTTATCGAACAGACATAACAAAATGCTTTTAATTGAATATTTGACAGACCAAAAAGAGAGCAAATAAGAGAAGTTATTTGCTGGGGTTTACATGCACTTTAATAAATGCCCAAAGACACGTAGACAAATGTGTGGTTACACCTTAATAGAGGTAGGTATAAATAAAGAATAGATGAGTGTGCAATTGTAGTTTTTGTATTTTAACTCACAGACTTGCCTTTTAAGTATATTTGTTTCATTCCACATCTAATACTAACAATTTATGGGCTCTTTTTTTTTCTATACTGTAGCAATGTCTCCTGGATCAGACAGTCTTGCCAGTGTGGACACCCCTGTTGTTTCTGAAATGATATTGCAGACTCTGAATGAGCTTGCTAAATCCTTCCTGGATATGTCTGACCGTTGCCTCCTGGTTTTGCACTTGGAAGTCAGGTTTGTTTGATTTCTTTTCACTTGTTTGTTTAAGCCCATACCTATTATTTTTAGTTATTTTACCAAATACAAAAGCCTCCTGCTATTCTCTCTGCCTACTCAGGCCCATGCAGTTTTCAACATTACCAATATGGCCGCAGCCTAAGTAAAACCTGAAATGCAATGTAAACTTTTGTTAAATTGTATGTTGAGGCAAAACTTCTTTGTAGTTTATTATTAGGTAGTTTACTGCTATCTGATGTTCCATATATATTTCCCTTCACTTACTTTCAGAATGGAGACGGTTTTACCAGACATTAAGTGAGGGGAAATTTGTACCAGACAGCAATAGAGAGCTGACAAGGGTTCTAGCCTTTCCCTGCTCTACATTTTTTTTTTCTGTGTCCCTGTTGTAGATCTTCCTTCACTCCCTGTATGTTGAAACCCTTGTTTCTGTTACAGTGAGGGGAAATCTTTATAACCAAACTGCAATATAGGAGCAAAAACCAGCAGGGTTCTAACCCTGCCTTACTCTCTTCAAAGTTAAAAAGCTGGATATACACTATAAACTATATTTGACAAATGAAAGAAACCGGGATTATGCAGAGCATGTTTCCAAGCAAGACTTTTCAAAGGATGGAAATTATGTCGGTTACACAGTTAAAACATTTCTGTGGATGGACTTTGACTTTTCATATAAACTACTGTTGTACCTCTGCAAAGCTGTTTTATGCTGCTTCAAAATAATCTTTAATAGGGAACATATCCACAATAACTTTTGTAAGCCAGGTGGCAATTATGGATTTAAAACTATGGTCGCCACCAATATCTGCCTTTGTTATTATATATTTTTCCAGGCTTTTTTTTGTCTCAACAGAGGTGCTCATATCCCACCTTCTAAGCACGACCTTGGCCACAAGCTATTTTTAAAATGCCCCTTTCACAATACAGCAGTCTGTGATACAAAATACAGATTAGCCACTGCAGAAGTACACCAGAGCTCACATTATAATATAATCGAGACCATGATCATGCAGCACTTAGTGGTGCCCACAATATAACATGATAATACAATGTCACGACAGAATAAGACGGTGCTCCCATTGTAACACAGTGCCCCGGTATAAAACATTTCCACTAATAATCTGTGGTGCTAGTGGGTGCCCCCCTTTCAATATTAATAAACCCTTGTGGTCTAGGGATGAAAATAAATAAATTATAT